GGTCAGGGACCTTAGCTATCTAAGTTCACTAAGTCGTGACAGGATTTGAATGTCTATTTTCTAATGGTACTCTGATTGCCTTTTTCACTATAACACTACAATGTTAGGTTTTCAAAAATTTCTCAAAACATGCTTTTCCCCTTTGTGTTGTGTCTGGAAGAGTGGGCATTCATTGCTCCCTAACGAATATTGTATTGAACAGCAATCTTCGCGAGCAGGGTATTTAGTCCGTGAACCTGAAAATTAGATTCTGAATTTTAGTGATTTATTTGAAATGTTTGTTTTGATTTCTGTAGTGGGTCAGGATGTGAGCATCATACACATAATATAGAAAATGGGATGTCCTTGAACAAATTGACACACCATTCTTTCTTGAGGTTCACATATTCCTCTTTCTAAGGGCATTGGCTGTGTAAGAATCTCTGTATAAAACTGATGTTCTTTGACTGTAGGGCACAGACAGGGCTATAGTCATAATGGGCCAATGGGTCTATTTTCAGTCTTTTAAATATTGATAATATTGTAGTTAAGATATATGTCTGTGCTTAGTTGCCTGTTTAGAATGTGAGAACGTCATGTGAACAGACTTACACACCCTGATCCTCATTGGGGAATTTCTCTGCGTGTGTTTATCTCTACTTTGGAATCAAAACTCTTGTTTCTTTGTCCTTTTGTTCCTTTTGAGGGAATCATTTCTCTGAAGATGAACCGATTTCCATGATTTTATGTTTTTCAGACAATCTTGTTTGCAGAAATATCTAATGCAATAGCTTAGATATTCCTGAAGAGAAATACAGAGGTTAAAAAAAGTTTTATGAATTTTAGAATTCATAGGTATTTTTCTTTATGACCTAGCAGTTGAGGTAAAGTCCATTGTAAGTACTCAAGCAAATGATTTCTAATAGCTATTTCTTGAGCATCTATTATGTGCTTATTGCCATGTTATGTGTATTAGGGGTTGTGAGAGACAAAAAGAAAAGTTCTATATCTCTTTTCCACAATAAATTTAGTTTGAAAAGGCAGGATATATATACATTCCTAACTAGGAAGCAGTGTAATGCACTCTGCCACGAAACATCCATACTATAAGATCAAGACCTTTGGTGGGTAAACCAAACCAATGGACTAATTGTTGGTAGCCATTTCAACTTTGTGAGATTCAACAAAATAAGCAACTCACAAAGAAATGCCATCAAATGATAATTAATGAATGCAAGGCACATGAGAGAATTTGAACCTCTCATATTTTTTAAATAATTTTTTTCACTCTTAAATTTACTTAAAAATACCAGTCCTGAATAATCAGATCAAAAACTACTTTTCTTGTTGTAAGAGCTATAGAGGCTAAGAAAGATAAAAAGCACCGCAATGAAAAGTGCTTCAAATTGATGGCTGTCATAACTGGATTTTGTTCTTAAGGTAATCAAATCAATCCATCGCACAATAAGAGGAATGAACCTGGCTGAGTTCATAGGGATTTGATGACACATCTACTCCACCCGTGTTTCTTGCTAAGGTTTTCCTAGTTACTGCAGCTTGCCAATCCAAAGAACATTTTGCAATTGCAAAATATGACAAAGCTGTGCTAAAACTTGTAAGAACGGACAGCAAGGCATTCAAGTCAGCGCTTTCTTACTACGAATAGTTAATTACTAGTAATAATTAAAAGCACATAAAGAAAAAGTGAGTTTTATCACTTATGTCATATAAATGCAAGTTATTCCCAATTTTCTCTTTTCTAGACAGATGGTTTTCAAACTACTTTTCCTCACTAGCATTAAAAAAAAAAAAGTCGGGGCTGGGGATTTAGCTCAGCGGCAAAGCGCCTGCCTGGCAAGCGCAAGGTCGTGAGTTCAGTTCCCAGTACCGCAGAAAAACCAAAAAAAAAAAAAAAGTCTTCTAGGGAACTCCCATATATCAAACAGGTGAAAGCTGAGATGTTTTGCTGCAAGAGGGAGGAAGGGTCCCATTAGTTCAGCTGTTTTCTCTCCCATTCCTCACTTAGCAGGACTCCCAAGGATCCTTGGCCGAACCACTGAGCCAAGTCTGTCTTCTAGACCTAGCATCACAGGCCATACCGTTCTCTCCAGTTCTAGTAAACTAGTTCCACAGCATTACATAAGTGCTGAATTTAAATTTATGTTGAGTGTTGAATTTAAATTATGTTGAGTCACAATCTGTCTGGCTCAGGAGCTCCTGGTGACAATGGTAGAATGCAGGGACCTGCCAGAACAGAGAACAGGTGAGCAGAGGTCTGGGCAAGTGTTCAAATTCTTGGTTCCTGTGTTTCTGAAACCTAGCCGCCGATTTTCCATCTTTATAGACTGGTTATTCAAATCTTCCTTTTGACTCTGTTTTGCTAAGAGCTAGCTCAAGCTATGTTTATTTCATCTGTAATCCAAAGTCCTGATGAAATACAAATGCTATCACCGGGTTTGTTTTCAATTGTAACAACATTTATAGAAGCCATTCCATGTGATAAAATATAAAGATGAATACAAATATCATTTATCCAGTTCCAGTCTTTACAGCTTCTCCTGGCCTTCTTCTAAACTTAGAGGCCTAAACACTTCCACCAATAGCCGGAATGTGCACTTCAGATGAAACAGTCAATTAAGATATGCCATACACAGGCGCCAAATACCACAACGAAAGTAAACAGTATATGTCATAAACATAAGCAGACTGCAATAATAGCAACAAGAATGTATGTGGGGAAAGGGAATTTAGAGGCAGAGGGAGAGAGGTAGGTGGGAAGGGGAAAAGGCTTAAAAACAGAAAGAAGGTTCATTATGTACATGAACCTACTCCCCAAGATGAGCATACACTGCAGACATGCACTAACAAATAAAAATGAAAATTAAAAATAGAGAGAGAAGCTGGTCTATAACTAAGAAGTATCCGACAGAAAGAGAAGCCAAAGTGTTCAGATGGCAATTGTGTCTGCCATTATGGAAGCAAGAATTCACTCAGAGAATCTGGAGTTTGTACAATAATTTCAGTGTAAGAACTCTGGCTAATATGGTTCTTTATGATTGATCACTGATTTTACAAGTCATGCTAGGGAAAATGTCCTTGATTCTGAGTGAACTTTCCAGCTGCTATCAGCTAAATACTTCATTTTTTCATTTATTAACTTTCTGACCAGGGAGACAGCCTGACCGGTCATTCGGTGAAGGAAAAATCAACTGCTTGTGGACCTGGAGAATTTGAAGATTATTCTCAAGATATATCTTACTTGGAAGAACTGGAGAAACACCAATTTTCAGTTTGGTGAGTGACTGTATTCTGTCTTTATATTTTTAATTTAAATTCATTGAACCCATTTTTATGCATTACCTTCTCTTATTATTTATTTTCCTTTTCAACAAAAATTGACCACATTTCTATTGTAGGCTATAGAATATGTTCCTTGACTTGGAAATGTTTGTAGTCTGAAGAGAGAGGAAGATATGCAAAAACATCAATATGATGTGATAATAGTATTTTTTTAATTACATGAAATGTCACATTCACATGTAGAGAAAACTATGGCCAAATTTATTACAGGATGGAGAAAATTTCCCTGAGAAAATTTGAGCCGAATGTTAGGGAGAAGATTGCAGTGGAAAAATGTTAACAGGTTCATGTGGGTAGAGTCGAGAGAGGGAAGTAGAAGTATCAGCAGATTGGGTCCATGCTGGAAATCTTAGTTCACTCGAGATCTAAGCGTACCATGATAAGTGTTGCCATTGCCCTTACCTCGTGGTCTGTATACTGATGCATCAGTTTAAGCTAACACATCTATTCCAAACATGAAGAAAGGAATAAAAGGGTGAGGAGCGGAATATCTCACAGGTAATAAGCACAGTGTTTTGCAGTGGTGTCTTCACCAAGGATCCACTGTGACAATGCAACAATGGGAGCAAGCCTTGGGAGGAGAAGGCAGGGAGTATCTGGTCAAAGCCATCTGCTCTGGGTCTGTCCCCTGAATGGTTTTCTCATCCAGAAATTGATCAGACTAGTGATTTGGTTCTTAAAGTTTGCTTGTACTCCTCCATCCTGTAGCCACTGTCTGGAGGTTGTGACATCAGCTCAAATGTCGTTTACGCAGTCCCATTCTCTGCAACTCCTATTGGCCTTCATCTAAACTTAAAGGCCTAAACACTCTCACCCATGCTTTCTGGAAACAGCTGGAATGTTGACTTCAGGATAAAGGGTGAGTTATTTTCTGGATCAGGAGAAATGAAGCATGTTTAAGCCTAAGTAGCGTCAAACATGTAGAGGAGCTGGTATGGTTTGTGTCTGGATGTCTGCGCGAAGCCTCATGAAGTCATGGGGGTCAGATTTTTAGAGGTGGTTGAATCTAGAGTGTGACTGCTTCATTGTCTTGGGCTGGGACTGGGGGTGTGAGTGCTACATCCACCCTAGAGTGGGTTGCCTGCACACAACATAAGGGGGAAAAAGTGCTTTACTCTTTCATTTTTTGCTCTTGTTGCTTTTGCTGTCTTCTGCCACCTTGAGCTGTTGCTCCTGTGCTATGCTGCCCCACCTTGGAGCCAGCTGATTTTGGACTGAAGCCTCTAAGAACTGTGAGCTAAATAAACTTTTCCTTCCTTAACTTTGGGTGTTGGGTATTTTGTCTCAGCAATGAGAAAAGTAACTAAGACAGGAGCCAAAGAGCTCAGATAACAAGAAAGATTCTTCTAGGAAGAATACCTATATATATATGGACAATGGGGGATGGACATGAGCAAAATGTATTACATGTATCATACCCCCAAAAGTGAAACTGGAGGGAAGGCAGGGCTAGAGGAAAGAAGGGGTAAAAACGATCATAATATGTTCTGGGCATGTACGAATCTGCCATAATAAAGCCCACTAAGCAATAAAAAAGAATGAAAACAAAATTATAAAGTGATATGCTCCCTGTTCTTCAGAACTGCTTAGTTTGTAATCATCTCTAAGGGGAGGGCCATGTGTCCACGTTAGATTTAATGCAATAACTGCCAGAAGGGAGGAGTTGGGTATTGTCTACAGAGTACAGAAGAGAGGGCTGAGCCTTCCACCATGCCCCACGCTAAATTCCTGATTCCTACCTGCGACTCACCAGGGCGGGAGCAAAAGCTCTCTAAAGCCCCAGTTCCTATGATATCCCAATTTTCCAGGCTGTCTCAGTTGACTCAGCTCCCTATTGTCCTTCAGAAATGATCTTTAGGAATCCAATACAGTATCACGCTGTCATTCTTATTTTGCACAGAAAGCTAAAAAGTTAAAAGATTTCCAATTGTCTCAGAGCTTCAGTTCCAAATTACACCTTTAATATGAAACTCGCAGACATTACTCTTTCAGCCGGCTTCTCATGATCTCTAGGTCTTGACCAGGAAGTGGCTGCAACAGCTCCTGGGGGAAAGCCTGTTCTTCCTCTGTTTTTCTTAATAAAATTTTATTGGAACTCAGACACAACCATTTGGTTACTTACTTCCATTAGCTGTTTTCCCCTACAGTGGCAGAATTTGTTTTGGGGGACAAAGACAATATAGTTCACATAGCCTGAAATATTTACTACTTGGATCTTTACCAAAAAAGTTTACTTACCCCTGCTGCATACTGACTTAGAAGATTCTCTTGTATTTTCTCCTGACAATCACACATTATTCTCATTTTTAATTCTTAACACAATTTTTCTATTTAGAATAAAATTAGAATAAAATAAAATAAATAAAATAGAATAAAATAAAAATTCTATTTCTATTTAGGATAAAATTCTGTTCTATTACATACTACATGTTTGTAATACGTAATGATTACATTCCTTGTAAGGAATCAGTACCTATACGTAATATATCTTAATTCTTAGTTCCTTTTTTCCCATTTCCTTTATCTTCCTTCCATTCTTCCTGTACCCATTTCTTGACCCCTCCTTTTTTGCACATATTTGCAGTACTTTATGCTTACATTTCTTGTGTGGGGTAGGTACACAAATTATTTTAAATTGATAAGTAAAAGTTATATATATTTATGGTATATAACATGATGTTTTGATATATGTATACATTGTGGAGTAGCTAAATCAAGGTATTTAACATATGCATTACCTCACATGCTTTTGTATTGCAGTAAGGACACTTAAAATCTGCATTCTTAGCAATTTTCCAATATACACTGTATTATTACAAACTGTAGTCACTACGTTGTATAAGAGATCTCTTGAACTTATTTCTCCTGGATGAAATTTTGTATCATTTGATCTACATCTTCTCTACTCCTGTCTTCCTTCACGCACTGCCACCATTATATTCTTTGCTTCTCTGATTTCAATTGTTTCACATTCCATCTACTAAGTGAAAGAACCCCAGTTTTATTGTCATTTGCCAGGACTAATGTCCTTTATCTAGGCTGTCACAAATGACTGAATTTCCTTCTTTGTTAAAGGGGAATAGTTTTCTATCATGCGTGTATATATTGTTTTCTTTACCCATTCATTTGTGGATAGAAATTTAGGTTTATACCTTCTCTGACCACTGTAAATATGCTACCATTATTTTCAAGATATTTACTTGTGTGTGTCTCTCTCTATTTGGGTTTCTGACATATTTTCGGTCATCAGCTGCTGCATGTTGAATCACTGGAGCTTAGTGTTATGTGATGGGCATTGTATTTGCTCAAAATTCTGAGGCTGTGCATTCAGACAGGATGCATCATGGAAAACTGTTCTATTTGTTCAAAGTAAGTCACACGGCCATCCAAAGGAGAAAGACTATGCCTCTTGACACAGGAATGGCAAGGTGGCCCTGCAGGAGAGCACAAAGATTTAGAAGGAATAATTTGGCTGTCCTGGAAACATAATCTATCACATTGCATTTCTGTCTGCACAGGGTTCAACAAATATTTGTTGAACAAAACACAAATGAAAAGTAATGAAATCTGAAGACTTTGTGTATAGGTTGACCTGAGTGTGTCTTCCTGTATTCCTTTCTGCCACTGCTAGGGAGCTTTGAACAATTTGTTTAGAATCCCTGAGGGTGGTTATCCATGAGTTAGGTTTGAACAGTAGTTCCTGTATTGTGAGACTTGATGGTAATCGTGACGGTTGAGAGAAAACGAACAAAAGATATCCTTCCCATAGTCACTGGAACATGTAGATTCCTAATAAGAGCAGGTATTCCTAGTAGTATCAGTGATAATGCATTTTAAGAAAATATGCTTTCCAAAGGTTAAAGTGGAGGGCTGTTATAGTTTGGACCTTAAACATCCCTTGAGGGTCATGCCGCAGGCTTGGACACCAGCCTGTGGTATTATGGCGGTCTGGCGGAACTTTTAGGAGGAGGAGCCTGTGGAAGAAAGCTATTGGGGCTGTGCCTCAAAGTGGGTGTTGGGGTCTCGGCCCTCCCCGCACTCTGCCTCGCTGCGTCCTGGCCATCAAGCACAGCCTGTAGCCTCCTTCACCACATGCTTCATCATCACGCGTTGCCAGAGGGCTGGTGCAGGGCCAGGTGACAATGGCCTGAAACTTCTGGCACTGTAAGCCAAAAATAGAGTTCTCCTTTAAGATGTCCTCCTGGTGCTTAGCGCTGTGGTTAAGTGCCAGGCCTTTACTGACTGTCCTGTGTAAGGCGGGACCTGTCCTTGTTCTAGTGAACCTCCCTGTCTTCTTTTCGGCTTCCTTTAAAGCATATTGTAAGCTATTCTTTCACAGTGATTTTATTGACTTGCTCATTTCTGTTTCCTCTCAACGAATAGAAGTTGCGGGTAAGAGCTGTTCTATCTGGTCACCTCTGGGCTTTCGGGCCAAACCCTGGAGTACCCATACATAATCTGATCAGTAGGTATTTGTTGAGCAAGTGAATAAAAGCATGAATGAGTGATCACTTCTCTTGATCTCTCAACCCCATTGGCTGTCACGCCTACTTATTTACTTCCAATCTTTTTTTTCTCTTGGAATTACTTCTCTCTGTCTCTCTCCATCTCTCTCTATCTGTCTCTCTCTTTGTTTCTCTCTCTGTCTCTCTGTTTCTCTCGCTCTCTGTAAGGTAATATGGAAGAATAAACTGCTATACACATTTCTCTTAAAACAAAGGCTGAGGATATGGGGGCTGCTGAGTCCTCTATAAACTTCTGTTTTAAATAGTCTGAGATACAATCTGAACAATTTCCTTGATGTTTTATGAGAGCTAGTAAATCATTTATTGGGGCAGCCTTTACCCAAATCCTCTCCAAATTCCCATAAAATGCATTTAACACAGAATACTGTAGTACCCAGCTTCAAAGACATATATGACCTTGGGTGGGAA